ACTACAAATATGCGGGTGAAATATAAAATTTTTATATGTTCTTTACATATACTGCCATTTTCTGTTGACTATCTTTAACAAAATTTTCGTACATTCTGCTGTTACGTGCCCTAACTAACGGCTTACTAAATTCCAAATCTTCAAAACATCGCTCAGTCATACGTGCACTGCAGCATAAGCCTAAATAAGTTGCATGGTGTGAAATTCTGTTCAGTGAGGCTTCTACCGAATCTTTTGGAAAAACCGTTAAACCTGTCAAAGGATCTGCACTTAATGATTTCACTTTAAGAAACTGCTGGAAACAAAGCAAAGAATAATCGCCAAATAAGAATAAACTATGCAACAAGCTTGTAAACAAAAACATTCCTCATTAAGTCACTTCAGTCTTTATTGCAGCTGTTGGGAAACTGTATGCAACCTATTCTTAAATGCATATGAAAATCGAAATGTAATTACCATTATTTTCACTGCAAAATTTCAACAGTCACAACTGGGAGACTGATGGAGGTGAGTGCAGTCTAACATTTTTCATATATCGCGTTACCTAAGAAAGCAACATTTCGACCAAGGTTGGTTTTTCATTGTAGTAAAAAATAGGCATAAATTTACATCGTTCATTACACATCAGATGTATAGAGTATGACATATCCACTTCCTCAAGAGACAACCTCCACAAGAGTTCGACTTCAAAGGCACTTTAAAACTACTTCTAGAAGGCAGCGGCGTTACGCGCTGTTTTCACTTCCAATAGGTGAAGTCAATTTCAACACAAGAACAAGAAATACAGAAGAAATCAGCTGCCATCAGAATATCGATCTACTTTGCACTTTACCAACTGTAGCGAATCTTTTACACAGAGCTTACGTGTGGCACTGATCTCTGGTCGACGCCTTTAGTCCAAAGGTTCTTTAAACAAAAATGCCATATTCACAGTTACTCCATTTTTGATCACCCCAAGCCCGGATAAGAAAACTGAACAGATAGAGCCCGAGTTGACCACTAGTTTTCATTTTCGAATAAAACATAACATGGCTGCCAGAATCGTTGAATGGAGGCATGTCAACGGAAAAGGCTGAATCCTCTAACTGAATAACTGAAGCCATAATGGGCTAAAACGTTAACTTTGTCACAGGTCCATTCGCCCAATTTGGAAAGAGAATACGAATTTTTCCTTTAGAAAACAGTGTGGTTTGTACGAAATGTCGCCTACGGAATCCCTTATTCTAATGGACGATGTTAATGCACATGTCGAAAAGCACTAAAAAGTGGAAAGGCGTGATTGCAAAGAACGACAACGGCGACCTCCACAATAACGATATAAAGTTACTACGGTTTTATGCTGACACTGTCCATTATGAACACCTTCTAGCATCGAACAGTGCATCAGTATACCTGGTACCCGGAAGCTTGTGCACAGAAGTCGATGACAGATTTCATAATCGCATCGTATGACTTAAGACGGTCTGTTATGGATGTTCGCGTTAACAGAGGTGCAAAGCTATCAACCGATCACCACTTTGTAGTTGCCACAGTAAGATGTAAGAAATTTAGCGCCATGCGAAGACCTGGTGACAGAAGCAGCCACAGAATCAAATGGGAAACATTGTCTTCGGTGGACACGAGAGCGAAAGTTGCAAACAACATCGCACGACGGTTTGAACAGATTCCAGCGATCACAACTGATGTTGAAACCGAGTGGCAGCTGTTTAAGAGAGGCCTACTCCAGGCTGCCTCCGAATGCTGCGGATATAAACGGGTTGGCCTGCCGCCTGGAGGTCAGCAAAGATCTGGTGGACACGAGAGGTACAACTGGCAGTTAAAGAGAAGAAACAGCGTTCAAGAAATGGCTTGGAAACAAGGAGCCATCTACACGAGTGCGATATGTCGAGGCACGCAAGGCAGCTGATTTCTTTGAAAAGTTCGGCGGGATGATGGAGTCGAATTTCCATACAGCAAACAAGATACTCTGGCAGACCGTTGGCCGGCTCTGAGATAAAAAGAAGGGCAGTTAAAGAGTCTTGAAGGAAACGTCTGTACATCCTCTTACCAAGGATGATGACATTCTTCGGCGATTGAGAGAGTACTTTTAAGAACTTCCTAACACCGATCAACGAAAGGAAGGCCCAACTGATGAGCAGCAAGGAACGGGTATTATGTTACTGTAAATGAAGTCACACAAGCTGCGTAAAGCTTAAAAAGTAGAAAGACCGCGGGAATCGATGAAATCCGTACTGCATTACTCCAAGAAATAGGTATTTGCTGGCTTACACGTGTCTGTGATACAGCAGTGGGCAGAAGAAAGACACAAGCA